CCCCCCCCCCCCCCCAATTTAAAAAAAAAAAACTAAATTTAAAAAAAAAAACTATAAAATCCCCCCTTCTCATACATCTTTCTCACACCTCTCTCTTTACTACTATATATTCTCTCAAAAATATTTATTATTTATAATTTAAAAATGGGATCATCTTCCGACGATGAAAGAAGAGCTTTATTTTTTCGTTGTTTCGCGACGAATTGTATTCAATGGTGAGAAGATGGCCAAGAAGAAGCCGAATCCTCCCGGCGACGGACCCGAAGATAATGGGTCTGCGATTTGTCAATACAACCCGGACGAGGAGGTGCCTATGTATGAAGAAATCACCGAAGAAAAGAAACGACGCAACCGCCAAGAAATTCGAAGCCGAGAGATTCACAATGCACTAACGGCGGATTTGATCGAGCATATCTTTAGTCGTTCGAATAATTAATTTAATTTTTTTTATGTAATTTTTTTTAATGAATGTAATTTTTTTTAATGTTTTTTTTATGAATGTAAGATTTTTTTATAATGAATTTAATTTTTTTATGCACTAGTGTCATTGCGATTAATTAAAATAATAAATTAATTTAAATTTATAAATTTAAATTTAGAAGATGTATATTTAAAAATGTAAAAAATGAAGGTTTGAAGCCTCGGGGCTTCAAAACCATTTCCAGTGAATTTTGGGTGTAAGTTAAAGCTGACGTGGCAGAGAGAAAAAGTTTGAAGCTCGGTTTGAAGCCCCGAGGCTTCATGACCATTACGAGTGCTCTAACTAATGAGATAAGTAAGAGAAAGGGAGTGACATTGGTGCCACTAAGTTCATATTGCGGAGTAGTAGAATTCATACATTAGAAGTTAGTTCATGCGACAATTATTTAATTAATGGTTCGGAGTGGGGCATCCACACGCAGACCAAATTACACATCAATTAGACGTACTCCAGCTGCAATCTTTATCTATCTTGGTAGATAAGAGCCAGACGAGAGTGAGGAGCTCACCACCCCTAGAGAGGAGCTCAATATGAGTACTTGCGCTGCATTTCCTTGCTCCCAGCCACAGTTTCTCCACCCACACGCTGCCCACCACCTCCCACATCGCTTCCTCTCCGCCGCCGCCGCCTCCCATTCTCTCACCAGCCCATTTCTTCAGTATCCTGGCAAGCTTATCCCCACACTCAAACAGCATTGTGGATGCACCATCAAGGTCTACGACGTCTGGTCGTAGTATGTCATCTTTTACCCTACGTTTTCTTTCATGATAATCTCCACATAATTCCATGAACTGGCGCTTGAAGTCCCCCAGAGGCCACAGTTGTCTCACTACCAAGAGATACAACATGTAATCTGACAATATCTTGCTGCAATACTTTGCCTTACTTTTATTCCCACTATTGTTGTTGTTGTTGGTGTTGTTGTTGTTGGTGCTGCTGCTGATGGTGACATCATTATCATCGTATGCATTGTTGTATAACAGGTCGGTCGCTATGCTCCAAATCAAAAGGTTCCTTCCGTAGTTGAAATCTTTAATCAGGAGGTTTATAAACGGATCATCAATCAAGCCCCTCACATCGTGGTTATTATTATTACTACGAGTCGTTTTCTGAGGCTTTAGAGCCAAAATTCCTCCCGAAAGGAGTTTGAAGTAGGGTGGTTTGGGCTGCTGCTTAATTTTCGCGCACAGATGATCGAAAATGAATTGCCAGAGGGGAAAGGTTAGCGGCTCATGGGAGACGTACTTCCACTCGTAGTACTCGGCCTTGAAGAATTTGTCCTTGACAAGTGCAAAGGGTTTGATTGTCGTGGCCCTAACCTTTGCAACAGCATTAATTAAATTACTAGTATTTGTCGGTGTGGTGGTCGCTTCTTGGGCGGATGAAATCCTTGTTAAGTTGTAACTCGAGACATGTCCTGACCACCTTCGGAAAACATAGGGTCCACATGTGCGGCCGCGGTCGTTATCATCCCACTTGGTCATTTTGAGAATGGCGAGTTTGCGGAAAGCGGGGAGGAACATTGAAACACAACATCTCTGAACACATCTAATATACTTGTTGTTGCTGTAAGAGCAGCAGTAGGGGACGAAGTAGGGAGGGAAATGAGTGAACGTCCAGTCTGAAAAGATGATCATAAGAATAGAATACAACTCGAGGACAATGGCACCGCCAAACAAAACATAAGTGACTCCAACATTACTTCCGGGGCGGCCGTTGTTGTCATAATAATGATGTTCTTCGAAGCAGAAAATAGAGAGAGCTGCCAGGGTGGAGGAGAAGGTGAGAAAGCGGAAAGTGCAACCCCAGCCACCACAATGCAAGACCAGTGCCTTTGAGAACACGTTCTCGTATATCATATTCATCACAACCTCTATTATCCTCAACGCATCAGTTGCTCCTCTATAGATCTCCAGGTCTTTATTATCGGATCCTCGCCTGAACTTGAGAGCTTCAGAAACAATGGTATGCTCATTAACCTTAATAGGCACAAAATAAATGTTTTGTATTAATTACATAAAATAGCAAAACATGCATTAATTATTAGATTTTTCCGTGTGAATAATAACACCAATCTTATTCTGCATGTCCACAAAATTAAAGGAAAAGCACCCATTTACCAATCTAACGGAGTGCAGCATAACACCAAATATTCTTGTTGCCGAAACCATATCAAACAAAACCAGTTTTTCAAACTCAGTGGAGGACAACACCCATTTACCAATCTCGCGCCGGCATGCCAAGCATAGGGACACACATCTCTCGGAGTACTTCACTATCCCCACAAACAACAACAACAACGTCGGCCCAAGCAGCTGCGTCCATTAAATAAAATTGATATTAGATATTAATACACACAAAAAAATTATTTGATTTGTTTTAAAAAAATATTTTCAAAATATTGTTTTTTCTAATTAAAGTGCTCTATATATTTTTAATTATAGGTCAAATGTTAAAATTAATTTACTACAAAAAGTCAAAATTTGATAAATAATCAATGATGATGTAGGAATAATGTAGGATATAACAAGTTCAATATTTTAGTATTGATGATGATATATGAAACACCTTTGGTTCACATGACCATATGAATCTCTGAAGGAACCAATTCAATCAAAAGCTTGGAAACCAAATCAACCAAAAACTCAAGCTTGTTTTTGTGGCCCAAAAATAGTTATTTATGTTCTAACAGAATCAATGTCATGGGATCACTTGAGATCCTTATGATCCTTCGTTCGACAAAAATTAGTGTTTTCTGTCCTTCCTAACTCCCCGATAAATGCCCCCACCCGACGTGAGCTGAACTCACCCCCGTCAATTGCTTCGTACACGATTTAGAGGAAGAAAGAGAGAAGGTGAAAAAGAAAGAGAGAAGAGGAAGAACGAAGAAGATGATGATGATGATAGACGGAGATTAGGGTTTGACGGAGAGAGGGACAGAAAGTCACTTCGGAGTTATTTTTCTGACATTTTGAGGTACTTGATAGTTTATTTTGAAAACTAAGATCACAAAATATTTGATGCCCAGTAACAATTTTTTTGTTGCTACTACTAAGATACACATTTACTCTGCATTTCATATTACCTTCGTTCCAAAAAGATCTTTTTTTTATTTTTTGTGCCCCACAAAGTCTTCCTCTTTTTATTTAAAAATCACTTTTACCTTTATTAAAACTTATCTTACGTATCACATCATATTTTTTCAATAACATCAAGTGTATTTGAAAAATCAACACAAAAATTGATATTAGATATTGATAAAAAATATATTTATATAATTTATTTTATAAAATTTTTTTAAAACATTATGCTATCTATTAAAATGCAATATATATTTTTAATTATAGGTCAATGGGTTAAAAATTATTTAACTAACTAAGTCAAAATTTGATAAATAATCAATGAGGGGGTAGAATATAACAAATGCAATATTTTAGAATTGATGATAATATATGGAACACCTTGATTCTCATGACATTGGGAGTCATTGTCATGGGATGACTCGGAGTCCTTACGATCCTCCATTCAAAAATATTAAGTTTCCCGTCCTTCCAAACTCTCCAATAAATGCATGCCCCCACCCGACTCACCCGCGCGCTCACCCTGCCAACACACATCCCACAAGATTTAGTTGACTTCGATATCAAAATTTGACTACAAAGTCAACCAAATCTTGTGGGATGCATTGATGGGGTGGGGGTGGCATTGGTTCGGGTGGTTGCAGAGTTCATAAGGAGGTTAGGTGAGATATAAGAGATCAATTTTTTCAAATAGTAAGAACCCAAACGAAGCTAAAGTCACGATTTTTCATACCCCTATCCTAACCCCGGCATCCACTTTGGGGATTTGACCACACCGAACAAGAGATGGGGGAGTAAGAAGAGAGAAGTAGAGAGTTCATGTTGGTAAGTACCTTGTTGGAGGGGAGTGTAAGTAAGATGAGATAGAAAGTAGCCGCAGCCTGGACGAGCAATTGAAGGAAATGGCGAAGCCAGAGCTGGGTGTCAGCAATGGAGAAAGCGGTGATGGTGTCGGGGCCACCAAGATGCACCAGAAGGAAAGTGCTCCACAATACCGCCAAGTCCCCGGCCGCCTCATTCCTCCTCTTGTTATTATTGTTGCCTCCGGGTGGCGGCGCCGACGAGCAGTTACAGGAGCCGCCGCTGCCGGCATCTTCGTTGACGTTGAAAATCTGGCCCAGGGCGAAGAGGGCGACCCCATCTGCGAGGAGGTAGAAAGACCAGACGAGGGCGACGACCAGCCTGTTACCCGTTCTCTTCCGGAAGGGAGCGAGAAGAACGAGCACTGTTTGTATGTACAGACTCGCGAGAATGGAGCCTTTTATCTTCCATTCCTCCCATGCCTCCCGAACCCCCGCAGGAATGGGATTCACCATCTCGATCCCTATCTATCTCTACCTACCTACCTACCTAATCTATCTATTGAGGTGAAATGGGAGCTGCTCCTCACGGGTATATATATACGGAGTAATATATCCTCCCCACTCCCCATTGTGAATTGGACACGTCATATTAATACAGAACCTCTTATTTTAGTACTTTGTCTATTTTACTCATAATTAAAGTGATTTCTTTTTATTTTTTTACTTTTGGCAAGCTCGATCTCTTTTTTTGTTGTTAACTTTCCTATTTTTGCTCTTGGATGTGATGTGATCGATAAATTCATAGTAAATTGGTATCATGTAATATGTTGAGTAAGGGTTAGTTGGAGTAAAATAGATGTTTGATGAAAAGTAAAATTATTTTATGGAATGAGTGAAAAGTGAAATTTTAATTGATTGGTGAAACAGATGAAGTACAATTTTTATTGGAGTATAATTATTTATAATTGAAGTTTGTCTAATTTGACTCTTATAAAAAGTCAACCTGAACCTAACAAACACATTGAGAGGAAGGTAGTATTATAAAATTTTACTCTAATAAGAATTAATGTGTTGAAATAATATTTTTTTGTGATTTTCTTAAATCTCCTTCCCATTTTTCCCATTTTCTTTCACAATTCCAACAAATATTTTTTGGTCAATTAATATGCGGAGTAGCGTCTGCTAGCGTTAGCGTTTTTAAAATAATATGCACTGTTAAAATTTTATCCAAAATACTAACGGTAATCTCTAACGCTATTCTCAAACATGTCCGAAATGCTAAATGATATTTTTACAGTGGGTAGTGCTGATTTTTTGTTATGGAAAAACTAAAGTAAGAGTAAAACAAAAAAAATTACCAAAATAGAAGTTTTATATTTTTATTCCCAAAATAGTAGTTAAAATTCATTTACAATGCTAATCATGACAATATACATTAACTAAAAGTATAGTGAAATGTTCATTTACACGGTCATATTATTACAATGTAAACTCCTATTTAGAGAATGATAATATGAAGCTCCTATTTGGATATTTTCTTTATGTTTTACTCCTATTTAGAATGACTTCTCACACTTTTAATGGACCGGCATGGTGATTTTTATTTTTTCAAATAACTCAATTCATCGATGGTATTTATATAGTAAGATCCATAAAATAAGTGTGGACTTTAGATTAGAAAAGAACTTATCTCCTTCCTAGGATTCCTAGCTAATCCTTTCCAACCAAACAATCTAAATTGAGTTTCAAATCCATGTCCATCTCCACTTCTTTTTTTCAATTTACCGTTCTTTGCCAAACCCATTCCTCAATTGAAGTACCAAAAATAATGGATGACCATACATTGGCAAACACAATGAGTGATTGGTACGTACACATGATACGAATATCGTATCGGATAGGGAAGAACTTCGAGCGTCTTCGGGCTCCAAGAAAGGGGAGGCAAAGAGAGAAGGAAAACTTCGAGCATTTCCGAGCTCCAAGAGAATAGAGGAAGAGATTAGGATTTTGATATTTCTTTATTGATTGCTTTGTAATGATAAAAGGGATACAATATATAGAGATGAAGGAACACTCTAATGACCTAATGGGCTCGGGCCCGTACTAAACCCTAATGTATAGAATATTAATAAATAATAATAAATAATACTAATTAATAAATAATATAACTAATATATTATCATATCATTCCCACCCCCTTAAAATCCACCTTGTCCTCAAGGTGGAGGCTCCCACTCATGCTTTAGGAACGGAGAAAGAATGCTGAACCAAAGGAGCAATCCACTCTTTGAATCTTCAACCATCGTGGATCTTGGAGCAAAGTGATGGAAAGATGAGACGGGGCGCAGAACATATGTAGTTGCTCTCGGTGGAATCAGGTGCTCCGTCTTGACCACATCGACAAGCTCAAACAACTTGATGGTGTCAATCAACATAGGTGAGTGTGCTTGTTTACCATCTGCATCTGTCACTTTGTCAACACTTTTTGGAATATCATATTCTGCAATGACCACACCAGCTGAGGTAGAAAATTCCTGAAAAGTAGGATCTGGCTTGTAGTACTTAGCAACATCTGCATGCTTACGATCATCATCAATTACTTCCACAGTTTTGGGCTTCCCGTTATCTTCATTCATGGCTTCAAATACACTGCTCACCTCATNCATAGGTGAGTGTGCTTGTTTACCATCTGCATCTGTCACTTTGTCAACACTTTTTGGAATATCATATTCTGCAATGACCACACCAGCTGAGGTAGAAAATTCCTGAAAAGTAGGATCTGGCTTGTAGTACTTAGCAACATCTGCATGCTTACGATCATCATCAATTACTTCCACAGTTTTGGGCTTCCCGTTATCTTCATTCATGGCTTCAAATACACTGCTCACCTCTTCTTCACCACGTGGTCCAGTGCGGAGTTTCGTTGCTCCAAGTGCATCCTTCATAGTCGGGGTAGGTAGTGTGGTGTTGTCTTCCACCCTGTGAACAAATTTGTCTATAACATTCTTTGGTGTCTTCTCAAAACAAATATAATCCAAATCATGTAGCGGAGCAAATCGAATCTTGAACTTTTCAACAAAATCTGTCCAACCATCAATTAAGCCACCACGCATACGCCAATTAAACCAAGCCAATGCAGAGCCCTCTAACATTGATGCCACACGGTTCAAACGATCAACTAAAGGGACGTCATAAAACTGAAAATACTCACATACCATAGCTAACCACTGCACGGGTTTGGTTCCGTCACATCTTGGGGGTAACGTTGGTGGAGAAGGTGCACCTGTTACTTTTCGTATAATACCCATTATGTTCGCTCTGAAAATTTGTAACTCAAAAGGAATTTGAATTGGCACAATTGGAGGTCCACGAACCAAATCCTGTACCGAGCAAAAAATTTCTACGTGGAGTGCATCATAATTAATTTGACCTTCAAAATGACGGATCGACCTGAGCTTTTTAATAAATTCATACACGTGATCAAAAATCATACACACTCCTTCGTCATACTCAATTTCCCCATAAAAAATATTTTCCAACAATCCAACAAGTTTGTCTAATGCACTGGTCGTCAATGAAATATAGGAGTCAGCCATCATGTCAACTCCATGCACAGAGAATTAATGGTGACAAACCAAATAAGAAAAGTCACTTACCAAGCAATTTTGACAACCAAATTAGTGGGCCGAAATATTACTCAAAAGTGCGAGTGGACCGCACCAAAAATCACAAAGGCTCCAATTGTATATTTGTATCTCCCAATTTACTGTGCTGGCACTCCAAATTGCAGCAAAGCCTTCTCTTTTTTTTCGTGCTTGTCGTTGTGCAAATCAAGAAAACCTGGAAGCTGCTTAATATGGATGGAAACCCAATGAACTGCTCCGTATAATCCGAAGTATCTAAAGCCTCCCAATGCTCCAGGCACACAGCAATTTGACTCTCTGTTCGCGATTCAAGGCAGCGACGAGGGGCGCGGCAGTGAAGCAAATTCGGGTCAGCGGCAATGAATCTGGCTCACAACTCACAAGCACACCCTTTTCTAAATTAAATCAAAATTGGAGTGGGGTAGGTGGTGAAAAATCAAAATGGCAGACGACAATAGATCTGGCCAAGGTTGGAGTTGAATCGCCCTTTGAGTTTACAGATGATTAGTTTTTTTGGAAGATCTCTCAACGAGAGCACCAATTGATACGAATATCGTATCGGATAGGGAAGAACTTCGAGGGTCTTCGGGCTCCAAGAAAGGGGAGGCAAAGAGAGAAGGAAAACTTCGAGCGTTTCCGAGCTCCAAGAGAATAGAGGAAGAGATTAGGATTTTGATATTTCTTTATTGATTGCTTTGTAATGATAAAAGGGATACAATATATAGAGATGAAGGAACACTCTAATGACCTAATGGGCTCGGGCTCGTACTAAACCCTAATGTATAGAATATTAATAAATAATAATAAATAATACTAATTAATAAATAATATAACTAATATATTATCATATCAACACAATTACCCAAACCGGAACCGGCAAGGTTCGGTTCATTCAAATGTCACTATGCAATATGCATTGGCGTCTAGTGAGAGCAAGAGGTTCTTGTGATGGTGATATGAACAGTTGAAGAAATTGTAGACAACACGGATTAATCCAAGAAATATGATAACATTTTCAATTTATTATCCAATCTAAAAATTAATTTGATAAAACTTGAATTATATCTTGATCAGAACATGTATGAAGTGTGATGAACTTATGAACTCCTTTATTTTCAACCAAGAACTTGCCAGACTCTTATAGAAGTGGTGAGAAGGAAGCTAAGAGATGCGGTCGCGTCTCTTTCTAAAATTCGTGTCTAGTCGCGCAAAAATAATTAGCAGACGCATTTTTCGGAAATTCTTTACCCTTTGAGACTTTCTTGGGCCGGGGGTGCTACCCCTGGAATCCACGCCAAGGGGCCGGGGCTTTCATCATGTTGGGACTGCGCGTGCTCTCACCCCAACCCCGCATTAGTATGATATTGTCCGCTCTGGGCCAAGCCCTCACAGATTTGTTTTTGGCCCAACATGATGAAAGCCCTCACAGTCCGGAGGGAGAAGTAAAAATGGACCACACAACTTCCGACCTCCCCTCCAGCGGGTAATCCCTTTTTTTTCTCTTTATCTGCTAACCATCTTGCACCGCCGCACACTCTTTGTGGGACACGCCGCCCGACCTCCTGTCGGGAAGACTTTCGACGCAAGGCTCGAACCGCAGATCTTTCCTTCGCTGAGCTACACCATTTGATCCACCAAATCATCTTGTACCGCCGTGGCTATAACTTCACGGGACGCGCCGCCCGACCTCCTCTCGTCGGGAAGACTTTCGACACAAGGCACCACCTGCAGATCCTCTTTCTTGGTCTTGGTCCTAGTTACACCGTCACACCGAGATTTTTCCACACTGCACAGTCCGCTACCCCCGCCTGCAAGAACCTGGGCTCTGATACCACATGTTGGGACTGCGCGTGCTCTCACCCCAACCCCGCATTAGTATGATATTGTCCGCTCTGGGCCAAGCCCTCACGGATTTGTTTTTGGGCACATCCCAAAAGGCCTCATACTAATGGGGTTGGGTGAACCTATATATTTTGGTCCATTTTTACTTCTCCCTCCGGTGTGGGACTTGGAGGAATCCCAACACATCATAATAAATTCAAGTAAGCGTATACGTACTCCGCACCACCAAACTTCTTTGATGATTATCACGATATGTTAGGTCAAATAGTTATTCCAATTACACTAAAATATACTTCATTCGTTCTTGAAAACTTTTCTCCTTTCTTTTTTCATCCGTCTAAAAAAACTTTTCTCATTTCTATTAAAGTCACTTTTTTTTTGTGAACAAAATGCACATTTTTATCATTCACAAAACAAACCAGTCAAAAAGTTTAACACATCAGGTAACTATGCTCTACCAACATCCAACTTTTTTATAAGTGAAAATTCTAAGATAAAATAAAACATTCTTAAGGTAACCTTCTTTATCTTTGCTCTTATTGTGAATAACATCATTTCTCTTTTTCCATCTATTCAGTACCAATCTACCATCAAATCTAACTTTTCCCATCACATCCAAGAATATTTTTAGAACTCAAAACTAAGATACGCTTCGATCCCATTAAATCTTTTATGAAGTAAAAATCAAAAGTTCTCTTGTTTTTTGGGAGAAATGGAGTATACCATGAACTTCATGCTGGGTGTTTAATCTTATGTCTCAAAAAATAAAACACGACAATGATACAGTTTTGTTGAATATGATACTCCTTCCGTTTTCAAAAATACTTCATCTTTCATTTTTTTCACTTGCAACAAAACACTTCTCCTTTCTATTAAAAACCTACTTTTACCCTTATTTTTTCATACCCTACCTATCACATCATACTTTTTCTCTAATAATAAATTCATCACATCTTACTTTTACCCATCACATCAGGGGCAAAATTAAAAGTCAACTATAATTTTAGACTTCCTTATTTTGCCTTATAGTCAAAGTGGGAAGGCTTTTTCCAAACAGAGTGAGTAGTATTTTTAAGACTAGATTAAGATTTCTAAACCCTAATGTTTCCTCCCACTAGTGTTACGAACCAAAAGTGGTGGCGCCCGCGGAGTGAGTTTCCACTGAAACTGCATGTGAAGGATTGAAGGAATCTTAGCTTGACACCACTACTCCACGCCCTCCGTACGCGGAAAACAGGGAAGTAGGTAGAGGCTTTTGGCTTTTCAGTCTTCCGTACAAATCAAATAAGGGCCATGCTACACTTACACCACAAATTGTACCCCATTTGTACACCGTAGTTATACACAAACATTTTGATGGTTTACACCGACACAAGTGTTGGTGCGTTAACAAAAATTTACACGGATACAAAGTGTCGGTGCATTAACAAAAATTAGTTTTACACCAACACAAAATGTCGGTGCAAACATGCGGGGTACAAAGTGGGGTACAAAAGTTGGGGTATAAATAGCTTTATCCATCAAATAATCAATATTCATCCGTTCAATTCTCTCACACCTAGAGGCTGGCGATATAAGTGAGAGGTTTGTGATATTACTAGAATCTATCATAGACTATTTTTATTTACAGGGTTTGATATCAGTATGAGATTATTCTAAAATCATTCGGTATCAATTCATTTTGAAACGCAACGGTTAATAACATACCCATATTCAGACTAAATCGAAAAATTAAACATACATTACTCAAATACCCCGTAATATAAAAACAAGAGCATAATTTTGTATAAAAGCGCATATGTAATTAGGTTTTGGTTTTATTGGGCCTCTTAATGGGATTGAAATTAGGTTAGAGTTATGTTTGTACAAATTTGTGATCTATGTATTCATCAAGTTCAGTTCTTATAGTATTTCTGCATGGTATCGGAGCCAAATCTTGGATAAACCAAAACCCCAGTTTCCTCTAGTTTTCCGCTTCTGCTGCCGCCGTCGATTGCGGTTTGTCCAGCGACGGCGGCATCACCATCAGATTTCGTTCTTATCATATTTTGTCTCTGTTCTACATCCAGCAGCCACATAATCATAGATCGACACCTGTCGATTTGCTTCGTCCAACCATAATTAAGAGCCCAATAAAGTGTTGAATCGGCTTCAAACTTCTTTTCAACTATGAGTCAATTGTGGTGAAAAAAAGGGTTACTTTGGTTTGTCACCTTGTTGGTTTTGTGTTGCTTTGTGTTGGGAAATTTAGCACAAAACTTCCCACGCAACGAAAGGAACAAACTAGTAGTCTAAGAACAAAGAAACCGCAAGCCAAAAAAACAGAGATGAGACCAAAGATTATTGAAACCGGAAAAATCCTCTTTACAAATGTAAAACCACCACTATAAAAAATAGTGCAAGTAAAACTTAACCGTCAAGGATTACAACATCAATCCTAAACCCACATACAATATTTTGGTACCAAGAAAACCCCCTCTAAATCCCCTAATACAATTGGTAAAACTCCACCAATAATCCACTAGGACTCTTTAGAGACCCCTAAAATATTATATGAATAAATAAGTTGTACAACCTCTCTCTTAAAAGAACACACAAGGCTAGAAGTTTTTTTTCTTGCTCGTACCAGCCCCTCCACTTTTTCCAAAGCCTATGCAAGGCTTTAAATATAAAAGCAAAAGCATTAAGTTAAAACCCAAACGGCCACCTAAGACAAATGAAGAGATTCCCAAATGCAATAATTCTAATCACCACATTTGTCTTTCCAAATACTCCCTCTGTCTCATGAAACATGGGACATTTGCTTTTTAGGAGGGATTTAAGGAAGTGTATTTTGGTATTGAATTTCCAAAAATGTCCTTTGATGTGATGGGTAAAAGTATGATTTGATAGATAGATTAATAGTAAAAAGGTATGATGTGATAGTTAGGGTATGAAAAAGTAAGTGGTAAAAGTGACTTTTTAATAGAAATGAGAAGTGTTTTGTGGGACGGATAAAAAAAGAAACGGGAAATGTTTCATGGCACGGAGGAAGTATTAATTCATGCACCTTGAAAAAACAACTTGGGCTGGACAATTTTGGGAAATAGTCCCAACAATCCCCCCTCAATCCCAAGTGTGTTCGGCAAGAACCTAAAAGCCATGAACCATTGTCGCCTCATCCACGAAAATGGCTATATCAACCCCTTTCATATAAATTTGCTAAATCCACACCAATATCAACTTTATATTAATGGGTGTTGATTTAGCAAATATAGGTAAAAGGTGTGGATATAGCCATTTTGGGGGTGGATTTAGCAACACCCTAAGTAAAAGCCTTGATTATGAGAAGAAAATTTCCAATATTGTTTTGACAAGTGTTGCTTTATGAAAATCACTTAGACTTTTGTAAACAATATTCGGAATGAAGAATGAAAAACGTAACCAAGTATTCGAATACTTCATCTACTATATTCATATACCAAGGCCTTATTTTTTTGGTTGAAAAAATTGACTTCCAACTTTATTCTTTTTATCCTATTTAAATTTTTAACCCTTGGTCATATTAGACACTTGAAACACTCATAAAATTCTTATTCATTTGATCATTTTGCTTCAACAATTCTTTTCTTAATTAAGTTATTTTTGAGAGAAAAAATATTTATTTTCAAGAGAGTGTTATTGTGTGAAAGAATTGGGTGAGTAATTGAAATCCATTGCTGAATCAACTACTACGTTTTTTTATGAGTATATTCATAACCTAGTGAGTATTATTAATTAACCTTGTGATCCAGGTTTTTGGAATCCTCTGTTCTCTTGTTCCTTAACTTGTTTGACATTTATGTTTTCTTACTAGAGATGTTAGCTTGCTTGCAGTGTGAGGCTTCTTGTCTCATACTCTCATCATGACTCCTGAAATTTTGAGGTCATCAAATAAAAGAGATTTTCCAACGGAGTGTCAACATTGTCTTCTTTCCCAAAGTGAATCAAATTCGATATTTACTCTAAAAATCTTTATCCTCTAGAAGAGAACAACAAAATAGAGTTATGTATTTCTCGTTGAATGTTACAGAGATACAAGTCTATACACACACACACACATACTCTGTATATGATCAAACAAATAGCTATATAAGGAAATAAATGAATTGTTTTCTGAGTTATACTCTTTATTCTCCCTTATGGGAAAAACTTTTGGGCGCGGGCTGAGAAGAGCCAAACAAGTGTGACGAGTTCACCACCTCTAGAGAGAAGCTCAATGTGAGTATTGGCACTGCATTTTATTGCTCCTAACAACAATTTTTCCGCCCACACCGCGTTAAGTACCCTCCACATGTGCTCCCAGTTGTCGAAGCGTTTGGCCTTCGCTTCCATCAGTGCTGCTGCTGCTGCTGCAACAGTGATGATGATCTCTGAACCGGAAAATGCAAAGCGCTGCTGCAGTAGAGCAGAAGGTGACAAATCGCAACATGATATGTAACCCAATCCGCAATGCAAGACCAGTGCCTTTGAGTAGACTTTCTCATATATATATATATATATATATATATATATATCATATTCATCAAGACTACCTCTAATATCCTCAAGGAATCTGTTCCATGTTCAAAATACAATGGGTTGGCTTCTTTTTTCAAGTTGTAAGCTAACATCACAATTTTCTGCTCATCAATATTAGAATCACGTACGCAGGCTGGTATTTCCCCTATGCATTCCGAAACTAGAGAGTTTTCTCTTCCAGTCAAACGTATGGGTAATGGACTCCCATTCGATCAACAATCTCGCGGCTACAAGCCAAGTATAGTGACACACATCTCTCCGTGTACTTCACAATCCCCACTATAAACAACTAACAACATGGTTGCCGCAATCACCTGCATTGCATTCATGCACCATGCATTCACAACCTAGCTAGTTGTAATTAACAGTGTGAAAATTAATGACACTTTAGGTAAATATGTTTATTTTAGTTTTCGACATTATTGTTTTACTTTTATCTTATCGTGTATCTGTTTTTTCCCATCCCCATTATATCCTTTTTTTTATATTTAAAAACCAATTTCATTTTCTTCTCAAATTCTCAGCAATACTCTGTCTTTATTTATTGACTACTGCATTTTAGACTGTGCTGTAATATTACTCAATACATATGCAGTAATATATGCAATGATATTGGTCAGTATATATGCAACAACATATACTGCATTTGCATGTTTTGCAATAATGTTAGTGAGCACATAAAGGACAATTTAGACTTTTCATAAATGTTTTAGTACTACAGTACAAATTAGTCCTATTAACATTAGAATTTAGAGCTTTTCTCAAGAATCGTGGATCAAGAAAAAAACACTCGAGTGGTTGATTGCAGGCCGCCGCCACCGCTAACCGGTGGTTGGTTGTTGTTGCTTTTTTATTTTTAAAGTTTAAAAAAAGTGAGTTTTGGTGCTGGTGAGCTTTGCATTGACAATATGGTGAGATCAATTTCTTACATTGTTGTCATGTGATAGAAGCTATACCACTGTTTGAAAAGGCAGAACACAAACCAGCCTCAAGGCGTGCATTAGAACTTTTCCTGAAAAATAACGCCCCGGTGCGAATCCCGGCCGCCCCACATTTTTTCGACTTCAGAGTTAAAATCTCAACTCAAAAGTCAAATAAACTTACACGGTGCAATTGGAGGGGATGGGCGAGTGGGTCCGGGACTTCGGGTCGAGATGGGGTGGAAGGATTTACCGGAGAGTTAGAGGAAGAACCATCAATTTTACAAACAGGGTAGCTCAACCCCAGGTCATCCTATGACATTGCTAAACAATGTCATGAAAACTGCCTCTTTTTAGTTGTTATATTATGGTTTACTTTAATATGGGAGGATAAACTAAATAGAATACCTTGTTGCAGGGGAGGGTTTGTAAGATAAGATAGAAAGTGGCAGCAGCTTGAACAAACATGGAAATGAGTTGGCGAAACCAGATGCACTAGAAGAAAATGCACTCCACATCACTTGCAGGTCCCCCATTCCATTGTTGTTTTTGGTTGATGAAGATGGGGAGCTGCTGCCGCCTCCCTCGCCGCCGCATTTGTTTTTGACGTCGGAAACCTGACCAAGGGCAAAAAGGGCAACCCCGTCGGCGACCGTGGCTCTCACCAGTATGTGACCCGTCTTCTTCCGGAACGGAGCTACAAGAACAAGAATGATTTGTATGCACAGACTCAAAAGGACTGAGGATTCCCCGTCTCTTAATACTTCCTCTGTCCCTAAATAAAGTTCTTCTTTCGTTTTTTCTGTCCCTAAATAAACTTCTCTTTTCCCTTAAAAAACCCATTTTACCCCTTACTTTTTCATACCCTACCTATCACATCATACCTTTTTACTAATAATCTACCTATCACATCTTACTTTTATACATCACATCCAGAGTATTTTTGGAAAGTCAACACAAAAATATCCTTCTCTTAAATCCTCAAAACGTCAAAAATGGAACTTTATTTAAGGACGGAAGGAATATTTAATTACTACTTTTGATTATTCTCTCTCTGTCTCTATCCCACACACACATTTATAAGCTAGCAAAATATAATAAAGAGTAATGCTAGGGGTACACCAAAAGGTGTACCCCAAATGTACACCACCCTATTTTCTTTCACACCTTTTTATTTAATTTTTATTTACTTTTTTTTTAAATTTTTTTGCCTTTTTTAGTGGACAAGGAAGGGGTGGGGGATATTTGGGGTACACCTTTGGTGTACCCGTAGCATTTTTCTATAATAAAACATGGAGTAGGTATATTGTGAGTGACATACATGGGAAAAACATTATGACAAAGTACATTTTTAACCTTTAATCCTCTGTAATAAATATAGAATATCATTTTTGAAAAACAATACTCTGTTTATTTTCATAAAAAGAAATTTGATGGAATATTACTCCCTCTGTCCCTAAATAAAGTTCCTCTTTCGTTTTCTCTTTGTCCCTAAATAAACTTCTTTTTTCCCCTAAAAAACCCTTTTTACCCCTTACTTTTTCATACCCTACCTATCACATCATATCTTTTTACTAATAATCTACCTATCACATCTTACTTTTACACATCACATCAAGGGTATTTTTGGAAAGTCAACACTAAAATATCCTTCCCTTAATTTCTCCAAAAGTCAAAAACGGAACATTATTAAGGGACGGAGGGAGTATTATATTAGTGATGAAAGCAAGGAAAATATGCAGGAATTTGAAGAAGAGACATGCTAGGGAGAATCGTAAAGTAGCAAAAATAATTGGGGAACATGATTTTGCCTTGGAAACCAAGAATTGTACAAACCCCTAGAATCTTTTATTAATTCAAATGTAAATATGCCCATATTCATGGACAAGCCTAGTTTGGTTTATCTCTAGTTCTGAAACAGGATTGGGGCATATTGTGTAAGTTCCTTGTATTGCTCCATTCTCTAATCTTAGTGTTTTATTTGTAAACTCTTATTGGCTTTATTTTTTTGACAGCCGAATAGGTTTTCGATGTTATAACTGTTAACAGTTTTGATTAGAATAGAACTGTAGCTTCCTGTTCGTCATTCTAATTAGATCTCCGTCAGTAATGAAGACGATGTCCTTGTACAAAGCAGGTCTCTTACACTAAACAAAATGTGTCTTTTTGCGATATTAGCGGGACATTTCTTGTCATTTTATCATGAAAATGCGTACCATAAAGAGTCCTAGCCCGACTAGCTCGTTCGAGTTGTCGATTTACGTAAGGGCGTTCACATGGTTAGCAGGTCTCCATCTTGGTGAAGAAGAGAAAAGTGCATGGGTGAAGAGAAAACCTAGCATTGAAATTACCGGCCTCTTTAGTCTTTACCCCCTTCAAGTGTTTGAGACTATTTTACTTTGTTGTACAAACGTGTCATTTTACATCACTATATTTTCTTTAATTTCCTCTTACAGTTCTCTCTAACGAGAGATATGAAAGAAAATACCTCTTTTTTTTCCTTCTCACTTTTCCTTCATTTTCTCTTAATAATAAATGATTTGCTATTTTTTAATCAGATAAGAGCATCTTAAATGAGGGATTATAAGATATATGAGTACACATTTTGTATCTTAAGTAGTTTTCACAATGCCATATATATCACATTTTATTCCCTAAATAGCACTTAATAATGTCCATAATATCCAGTGATGACAAATATTTACTTGAGTACAAACCCAAGTAAAAATACATTAAAAAAGAGGTATTTTCTTTCATATCCAGCGATTTGTTAGGTGATATATATGGCATTGTTAGGTGATATATATCTTAAGTAGGTCTAAAACATTAAAAATACATTTGTCAAACCCAGTTAAACCCCGTCAAGTCCGCCACTCCTCCTTCGTTTAGATCAAATTCTCCATATAGAACATCCTCAAACAAACAAATAAGTGTGTCCAATGCATTGATACTCATAATCAAAATCTCTAACGGCATGAATCCGGTCTCCATTCTCAATAAAAAAATTATGTTGCATTTTAGCCAAAGATATAGGTAATAAAATCTCAATTCTCAAACCTTATAGAATTGTGGCACAAATTCGAATTTGAAATCCAAATCCATGTTCTCACACATACCATTATTTTATTTGATTTTTTGTAGTTTTTTGTTGTGTTCCTCTTAATGAGAATACCAATTGATCGATACGAATATTGTTTTAGATAGAGAAGAACTTCAAACGGTTTCAGGCTTCAAGGAAGGGGAGGCAACATCAGGCAAGAAGAGATGAAGAACTTCGAGCATTTTCGAACTCCAAAAAAAGAGAGACGAGATTTGAGTTTTGATTATTTTTTACTGATTGATTGAATGAAAGGATTATATAAGACCTAATGAAGTTAGTAATAGAGAAATTTACCTAAATAGGACTAAAACATAATAACTTTCTCAATATAGGATCATATGTTTTTATTTCTCAATATTAGAGTAGGACTATTGCATTTTGATCATTATCTATTAGACATTATTCAAGTAAATATCCACCATTACTTGACATTATTACTTCCACTAGACATTAGTAAATCCTATTTAGGAAATAAAAAAGGTTAAATTTTACATTGGGAAATGACTTATATTTTATAGAAATCACCCTAAATAGAACTAAAACATAGAGGAAAGAACCAAAATAGGACTTTCATGTTTTTTTCCCCGAAATAGGAATTTGCACTGTGGTAATATGACATTGTACATGTGCAGATTACTATACTTTTTTGGTAATATACATGATCATATTTGGTAATGTAAATTCTATTTCGAGAATAAAAACATGGAAGTCCTATTTTAGTATATTTTTAATGTTTTAGTCCTATTTTGGTTTTTATCCCTACACTCACAAAAGAAATTAATAATATGACAAATATTAATAATTTAATATAACATCTCCTACATTAAAAACAGAAATACCAAATTAACAATAATAATATCACTACACTCAAGTTTCCTTCCTAAACCGATGGGTACAAATCATTATTTAATTACCACATTAAATTCACGCCCTTAGGGCTTAGACTTGCATATAAACAGCACTCTGCAGGGGTGGCCGCCGCCGCCGCCGCGGTAGTGATTCAGATGGGGAGTCGATCGCCGCCGCCTGCGTTGGCAGTGGACGACGGCGCGGAGGGCATGGGGCGGAAGTGATCGGGGATTGATGAGGTGGACGGTTCGGAAACGCAAAACCCGATCTTTGCGGTGAAGAGCCAAACCAGCGTGAGGAGTTCGCCCCCTCTGCACATGAGCTCCAGATGAGTGTTCACGTCGCATTTCATGGCCCCCAGCAGCAGTTTCTCCGCCCACACGCTCCCCACCACCCTCCACATTTCCTCCCTGCCGCCGCCGCCCAGTCGGTCCGCCGCCTCCAACAGTATCCTGGCAAGTTTAGCCGCACAGTCAAACAGCTTCGCCGCTTCCAGGTCCTTTATATCTGTATCATTCTTTGGGTCATCAATAGCACGGACTAATGATAACTTATTACCCTCTCCTCCTCCGCCGCCTCCGCCGCGGCCGCCGCCGTGTTCCTTGCCCAACTTTTCCAGCCGCACACATAACTCCCAGAAACGGCCTTGGAAGGTCCCCATTTGAGGCCACACCTTTCTCAACACCAAGAGATACAACATGTAGTCCGACAACATTTTGCTAAACCTCTTTGCATTATTAAAAGGCTCCTTCTCATCACCATCCGCCGCATAAATCATGTCGGTAGCCATGTTCCAGATCAAGAGGCTCCTTCCGAAGTTCATATCTTCCATGACAAGGGTTGTATACTGTTCGTCAATGCCAACCACAAGGCTTATATATGGGTCATCATTATCGTTATCTTCGCCAGAAGAATTGTAAGAGGAGGAAGTAGAAGAAGAAGAAGTTGCGGCACGGGGGGTTTTGGCGGTAGGCTTCAGCGCCAAACACCCTCCCGAGAGGAGGGTGAAGTTGTGCGGTTTGGGTTGGGAGATTTTCCAGCGCAAATGGCCGAAAATGAATTGCCAGAAGTGCAAGGTGAGGGGCTCGTGGGAGACGTACATCAGCTCGTCGTACTCAAACTGACAGAAGTTGTACACGATGGCGGCAAACGGCCTGAGCGCCACCGCCCCCGCCACCAACTTTCTGACAACGTTTACGTAAACCGACGACGAGCAGAACGACTTCGGTGTCATTGTCCCATACTTTCCGTCTTCATCGTCGCAGCACAGGTGGTACGCCCTCGTCAGGCTGTACCTGGACACGCGTCTCGACCACCTACGGAAAAAGACGTTCCCGCACGCATACCCGTCCCCGTCCCCGCCGTCCCACTTGATCATCTTGAAACCCGCGAGTCTCCGGAGAGCGGGGAGAATGAGACACTTACCCATCGACTTCGGGCTCTTGTCGAATTTCCCGAGAGTCCAGTCGGAGAAGAAGAGCATGAGAATGGAGTACAGCTCGAGAACAATGGCGCCCCAGAACAAGACGTACGTGACGCCGATGTCGCTGTGGACATGTTTGGTGGCGTAGTAATCGTAGTAGTGGTCGCGTCCCTGGAACCAGAAGAGGAAGAGGGCGGCGGCGGTGAAGAACAACGTGAGGAACCGGAGAGTGTAGCCCCAGACACAGTGCAGGACCAGAGCCTTGGAGAACACTTTCTCGTAGATCATGTTCATGACAACCTCGGTGATTCTCAACCCGTCCTCGGGTCTCGCGAAGAAGGTCCCCGCCCGGCGGGCCCCGCGGAAGTCGTAAGCTTCGGACACGATCCTCTGCACGTCCTCGTGGGGGGTCGGGGTGGCGGTCGCCGGAGGTGCGGTGGTTTCCACGGGCGGCAGCACCGTCGTCAGGTCGTCGGAAGCCATGAGTTTTTCGAAATCGGCGGAGGTGGACTGCCATTTACCGACCTCCCGAACACTTGCGAGGTAGAGGGAGACGCACCTCTCGGAGTACTTCACAATCCCAACTATAAGCATCAACAACGTTGGCCCAATCACCTGCATTATCCATAGCAAAACATTTTTGTTATATACTCCCTGCCTCCCATAAAATACGGACTATTAAAATGAGTAATTTTGGTGTTATTTTTTAATTTTGCCCTTACTTCTTAAAAAAGTAGGATGAGATGTGTAGAATAGATTAGTCATAATTAAAAAATAACACTAAAATTACTCATTTTAAAGGCGTGCCATTTTTGAAACAGAAAATGTTTTATGGGATGGAGGGAGTATGACTTAAGTTAAACTGATACGATTAATTTAAGAAATATTTGCACTAAATAGCACTAAAATTTAAATCATTTCTCTAAATAGCACTTAAAGTATTTTATTCTCTAAATAGCACTTCATAATTTCCAGTGATAACCAATATTTACTTGAATAATGATTAATGGAAAAATGACTAGAAGTGCTAGATTGAGAAAAAAACACATGTAATGTTATTTAAGAAAAGTCATTATGTTTTAATGTTATTTATTTAAATTCTCCTTAATTTAGTTCCATTGCATGATGAGTGTACAATTAATTTAGTCAAACTTGAGGAGAGAGTACAATTTAGTTCCATTACATAAGGAGTGTTGCCAAGTCATAATTCCTACCCACCAAAATAATTCCAACTAATTAAGCTCTAAAGAATAAACGTTATAATCTATATTAATTTGATCTACTTTCCCTAAATCTTAGGACCTGTTTGGGAATAGTGTTAGAGATTAGGTTTAGCGTTTTGGATAAAATTTTAACGGTGCAGATTACTTTGAAAACGCTAACGCTAAACGCTGCCCGTAGATAGCCTTTTCAAAATGCTAACGCTAATGGCTAACACTATTCCCAAACAGGCCCTTAATCAAACACTATAACCCTTTCTTAAACTTCATGAAAAAATAAATAAGAGTTTACATTTGAAAGAAGGGAGTATATATTTATTAAATACTTCATTTTTTGCGCTATCGCGAATACATTTTTATGCATATCTTTAATGTCTTAGATTCATCATATTTCTCCTTTATTGTGGATAGAAGTAGTTTTGGGAGTATTAAAATATTTTAGATGGTGTAAAGCATTTTATAGAATGCGCAAAAAATGAATTAGGAAGTGTCTTTAGAGCATCAACAATGACAAGGCGAAAATGGAATGCCACACGGTGACATGAAACATTTTAACCAATAAAAAATAGTTCAGTCAGCGTGTGACAAATAAATGGAGTGGCAAGTCCTACAATGGCAAGTCATTATTTTTTATCACTTTTTTACATTTTTTTATGTTTTTTAAACATAAAAAAAATATTTTTATTATTTATTTTATTAAAAAATTATTCTACTTTCTTGTACATTTTTTTCATAAAAAATTTAAAAAAAAAAACTATTTTAAAAAAAGTAAAAAAGTAGTATGAAGTGCCACACTCATGCCTCACCAAGCAAGGCATTTTGGTGACAGAAGCTGATGAGACAGTGCAAGGCATCCATCTTCCTTGCTATTGCACATGCTCTTAGAGACAAAAGAAGTACTCGGTATAACAATACAAGTAAATACAATTACTCGGGTATTATATATAAATGATCAACGTGTTAGATTTCAGATTCTAATAAATGAAATATAAAGAAAATTATAGGTAAACTATAGGGATTAATACTTTTTTTTATTTTTATTTTTCAATTCATTAAGGCCAAGAGAAATGGAGTACTTCAATTCGTACGTTTCCGGTACCTTTGTAATTAAGTTTATAATCAATGAACTTTTATATCATACTCCGTACATTAGAGTGAGTAAGCAGACTATTTATTGAACCAATCAAAAAAAGACTTCACATTAATCACACTTAAAAAAACTACCCCACACACCATACCAAAAATAAAACAGCCTTACCACTAATAAAAACACTCCAAACCATGCACATAATCACACGGAATACAAATAGGGTAATCTTTTCCAAAACCCGGCCACTCCTAGTTAAGGACGGATAGGTAGGCTAGAGGGGTATGTAGATGCCCCATGTCTATCTTCAATATAGGGGTCCTAATCTTTCTCACTATGTGTTATTTTGAATTTTTTCTATTCCCTAACATGTGGTTTTTTATTTTGGTTGAGAAAAAAAAAAAATCTAAATAGAAGTAAAGAAATAGAGAACAGAATGATCACAAACTCCACAAACTTACTATTTATGATTTAAATTTTCATTTTAAAATTATTTTAGACTATTTAATTTTCTTTATTGAAGTTCACAAATGGTAAGTTTGTGAAGTTTGTGAAGTTTGAGTTTGTGAACCAAGCATTTCCTCATACGAAAATGTGTTGGATAAGAAAGCATCGTGAATGTAAAAATATATTAAAAAATACTAAAAATGAAAACTCACTGTTTTTACCAACTTGCACTATGATAATGTTGCACTGTATATGAACATTTTGAATTGAAATATATATGGTATTATATATATTGACATGATTGATATTGTATATGTATTATAATTCCTATTTTGAGAATAAACATATTGAACTCATATTTTAGTATATTTTCAACGTTTTACTCTTTTTTATCATAATTCAAACTCTGATCCTATTGAGGGATAAAAACAACTATGCAATGTCCTCTTAATTTGAAGATAGATGCTACTTTTTCTTCCTATTTTGACGATTTGGGGGGGGGGGTTTGATCAATTAGGGCCTGAAATATTAAAATTTACACTTAGACAAACATTGTTATACTCCTCCGTTTCTCAAAACGGTTCCTCTTTGGACTTTGGGGAAAAATAAGGAAAGTATAATTTTAGTTGACTTTCCAATTTTGCCCCTGATGTGATGGGTAAAAGTAAGATGTGATAGTTTAGTTGTTAGTGAAAAAGTATGATGTGATAGGTATGGTATGAAAAATGTAGGGGCAAAAGTGGTTTTTAAATAGAAAAGGGAAGTGTTTTAAGAAAAACAAAAAATGAAAGAGGAAGGATTTTAAGGGAAGGAGAGAGTTTGATTTTTTTAAATCTAAATATGAGTGCCGTTGAACAATCAAAACAAGAACTTTTAGAACTATGTTATCTATACTTTAGATGAAAGTGAAAAGTACATATATATATATGTGTGTGTGTGTGAAAAATGCTAGGGGTACACCATTTGGTGTACCCCATTTGTCTCCCACCCCCTCCATCACCACACAAAAAGGCAAGAAACTAAAACAAAATTAAATAAATAAAAATAAAATAAAATTGAATGGCCGGTGGAGAAAGGGTTGAGGACAAATGGGGTACATCTTAGCATTGCTCTATATATATATATACCTTGTTGCAGGGGAGGGTGAGCAAGATGAGATGGAAAGTGGAGACGGCCTGGACGAGCATCTGAATGAACTGGCGGAGCCAAAGCTGCGTGTCCGGAAGAGAGAAGGCGGTGATGGTGTCGGGCCCGCCGAGGTGCACCAGGAGGAAAGTGCACCACAGCACCGCCAAGTCCCCGAACTCGTTGTTCTTGGAGGCCGCCGAGGAGGAGGAGGGCGGCCCGGAGTTGCACTCCGAGCCGGTCTCCTGCTTGATGTTGAAGATCTGGCCGAGGCCGAAGACGGCGGCCCCGTCGGCGAGCAGGTAGCAGGACCAGACCATGGCTATCACCGCCCGGAGGCTGGTTTTCTTGCGCAGGGGGGACAGGAGGACCAGGCTGATCTGGATGCCCAGACTGCCCAGCACCGACCCTTTGATCTTCCAGTCGTCCCATATCTCCAGAACCCCCGCCGATATCGGATTCACCATTTTTATTTTATTATATTATATTTTATATTTCAGGGCATGTAATTAAATTTATATTCATTCAATTGGCCGGGATCTATCCGAGTATATATGTATCTGCATGTGATGAGTGAGCTGAGATTAGCACTCTCACAGTCTCACACCTTATATATACTTCCTCCCTCTTGAAATAAAATTTCCCATTTGACTTTAGTCAAAACCGGAAAAAATATACGCCGTATTAAATTATATTTTTATATAAATTTAAATTTAATATCAATATATTCATTTTGAAATATTTTATTTTGATAATACTTCATCCGTCCCACAAAATATTTTAACTTTTTTATCTTATCCGTCTTATAAAACAATTCAATTTCTCAAAAAGGAGTAAAATACCCTCTTTAACCCTACTTTCCCATATTATGTTCGTCTCATTGCATCTTACTTTTTGTTTTTTAATTAATTACTCTTTTTCTATTATTCTTAACTATTCATTATTGTGAATCATCCTTTTAAAGAAATACCCTAAGGGCATTTGTGAAAGGTTAAACATTAAAATGCATCTTCTTAAGAAATCTTCGCACTAAAACAAGTCATTTCTCAATGTAGAATTTAAACTTTTTTATTCTCATAATGTCTAGAAGAAGGAATAATGTCCAGTGATGATGAACATTTACTTGAGTAATGACTAATGCATAATGACTAAAAATGCTACATTGAAAAATAAAAATATAAGATGCTATTTAGGAAAAGTTATTATGTTTTAATGCTATTTAGATAAATTCCTGAGTAAATTCCATAAAAAGTCTCCAGTTATAGGTCGTTTTACATATTTAATTCCTACATATCAAATATTACTAATTTAGTACTCAATTATTATATTCATTTTCACGAATGGTCCTTTGTTAACATTTCTGTTAAGAACGTGGATAAAATTGTAAATTTACACTCTTTTTTTATCCACAATTAAGCTTCCACCCTCCCGTTGCACTCCTTTCCCAAATCTGTCGCTGAGTTTGAAGCTTTGAACCCAAAACCGAAATCATCACTCTTCTCTCAATTATTTGTCTAACTGGTGGAACCCAAATTCGAAACCAATAACCTTCAATTCATGGATGAGTTTCAATGTTTATTTCTTTGCAATTTCTTGAGACTAACTGATAAAACTCATCTATAAAGCTTGATGGTGTAAATTACTTGACCGGTCAAACTATACTAGACCGGGTTTAGAATAGTTGGCTCGATTCGGTAAGATAAGAAAGGTAAAAAGCACAAAGATTGACCGGTAGGACTTTAGGTGGAACACCTGTAGCCTGAATTATATTAAAAGAGAGAATGCACGGTCACTTTTACAAGGGAGTTAAGGGAGAATGAATTCGGATCCCCTTATTCGAGGGTTACAAGAGGTATATATACTAGGCTGGGGGGCAGGACCACGTGCGCCCACGTGGGGGCATGCTGCTGGCGTGGTGTGAAGTGACTGGCTCTGAGCTGCCTTGTCATCTTGCGCGGGGGGTGGCGCCCTTGTCGCGTTCTGGTTTGGAAA